GCCAAGAATCCCAAGCTCTGCAAGAGGACTAATTCTGGCTTAGCTCTACCTATGAGTGGGCTGTAACCTGCTGTACTGCCCTTTCCACCCCACACCAAGGCAGGCTCCCTGAGCCCCAAATGCACTCCCTTACTTAAATAAGCCACTCTCACCTTGATCTGAGAATACTCTGGCTCAAACTGCTCTGTCCACAGGTCCTGTTCATAGTAGTACAGCCCATCGTTGATGACCTTGGCCAGCTCCGAGCTCATTTTAGCCCGGGATGTGTGGTTGCCAGTCCGGTCCCCACCAGGATGCCGGCGCAGGTAAGGAGGTGTCTGCGTCACGATGAGGATCTTGTTTACGTCCCGGTCGTCGATCTCGTAATCGGAGTCTTCGTCTGACCAGTCGGTGAAGGTGTTCTTGCGGCCGTCCATCTGCTCCATCTCCTCGTCGAACAGGAAATCTAGTTCCTCAGGTTCATCTTGGTCCTTCTGCTTTTGCTGCTGCGGCGTCTTTGACTCCTCTGGTTTCTACAGGTAGAGGGACAAGGGTGACACAAGATAAACACCACACAACGACACAAACGTACTGCTTGGAGACACAGCTATGGCCTCTTGTTTCTTTACCACAGCCAGAAGCTGCCCATCTATGGAGAACACCTTATTTACACCACTGAGGATCAGCTCCAAAGTGGGTCAGATGGGGCCAGGAGAGACTAGGACATCAGTCCTGTGACAAACAGACCCCATCTGATTTGAAACCTGCCTACTTAGGATTCAAGTCACACAGACAACCGGGAGACCCCCACCTCAACAGCTCCTACATCACCATCTACCTTGGGCCTGGCTGGGGAGGGCCGAGGTCTCTTCTTCACTTCAATCCATGTCTCTGAATCCAGATCTGGCAGACTTGTGGACAGGCCCTTGGGCATCGTCTTCAGGTTACTGACCTCCTCTGTTTTGGTGGGGACCGGGCTGGCAGCACGCGGGGAGCCAGGAGCAGACTCTAGAGCCAACAAGAGCCACAAGGTGCTTTAGAGGGAGGAATGGAGCCTGGGGGAGTGTGTACTTAAAGCACCCAACCAAAGAGGGAGTTATTACGGCACAGCCTGTGGGACTAGCTATCATCCAGAGAAATCTTCCCAAGACAGTCCAGAGCCAGTGGGAACAGATCTTCTCCTGCCAAAACTAACTCTTGCAACAGTACCAAGAAGACCTCTTGCGCCCAGCCCTGGACTCCTGACAGCCCCCAGGGAATGGGATAACAGGAGCAGGGGGCAGCCTATGAAGGACAGCAAAGCCTTCCCCAGCACTCGGCTGTCAGCTCCATACCTGCTGCCCCATTTGTACTCAGCACCTCCTTGACCACTGAGGAAAAGCTGGGTTCATGAGTGTCCTCTGCTCTGCAGTAGCAGAGTATTCCCAGGCACAGCCAAGTGACTTCCAGCAGGACTAACCCTTCCTGAATCCCTTCAGCCCCCACTGAGGAAAAGCCACAGACTCAGTCTCTTTCATGTTTCCCCATGTAGAGGCAGCAGCGCTCTGACAGTCTGAGGACAGAGCCTATACCAGCTCCCACCTCCAAAAAGAAAGCAAACAACAGAGGCCTGCCCTGGGGAAGACTCTCGGGGTCCCAGTCCTGCTGCAGTACCAACACCACATCCCACAGCCCCCTCCACATCCCCAGTGCTCACCAGTCTCTTTCTGGAAGCTTTGTCGGGGCACAAACTCAGGGCAGTTGATGAACTGCGAGAAGTCAGTCTGTGTGTAGTCGGCCATAGGGGGGCCAGGCAGAGCCCATTTCTCTGGCTGCTCTTTTCTCCTGATCTTCTCATCCACAATTTCCACCACCTTGCTGTCCTTCAGAGCCTGGAACCAAGGGATACCTGGTTAAGTTAGGGCCCTACCTTGGCACTTTAGAGTGGCTCAGCCCCAGCCCTTCCTCCCTAAGAGGACCAAGAGGAGAAAGGAGCACGTAAAGGACGAGGGAAGGCTCCACTTTCATCTCACTCACAGCCCATCTCAAAACCAGGCCTCAGACAGAAATGGCAAGAAGGAAAGTTTATCTTTCCTTGCCCTCACCTTGATGATGAGGCTGATGTCAGTGGTCAGCGCCTGCACCCGGTGGAAGCTGGCGATCAGGGTGATGGGAAGGAAACCATCAGAGTCCATCTTGCGGCGCAGGAAGAAGTCTCGCTCCAGGTTGTCCACACTGAAGTAGTATTCTCTGTATGGACAACGCATCAGTGAGAGGCAGCTCCAAAGCCACCTTCCTCTGGACACCCCATAGGAAGTAATCCCCCACACTTCTGCTACTGCAAGGCTGGTAAGAGACAGTTGGTGGAGCCCAGACTTAGGGTAAGCTGGTGCTGTAAGATGTGTAGCAGAGTCAACACACCTTGGCTCTGACCCTACCCACGGGATTAGATACCCAGACCCCAGGGAGGACATCTGTGAGCATCCCACCAACAACCAGGCAAGGAGAAGAGGTGGTGCTTACATCTGCCGCTTGATGTAGTCTTTGAGCAGCTCCTGGTCCACGCTGTAGAGCTCAGCACTGCTGATGTTGTCAAAGTAGTAAGTGATGTTGCTGGCGTACTTCTGCGTGCGGGAGCCATCCGAGCCCTCGAATTTCCGGTACCCGTACTGGTAGTCAAAGTGCCCTGTGGGACACAAGGAAGGGTCAAGCACAGAGCTCCTGGATCTGCTCAACAGGGCTAGACTCTTGCACAAATAGCTCCCTCTGCAGTGCTCCTGGGGACCCGTGGCAGCCCATAATGGGGCATCACTCACCCACATCCCTCATCCTCCTGCTCTCAGACATTGCCACAGATCTCAGTGAAGCTTCAACACACCAAGCCAAAGAGAGGCCAGGAGCCCTCTCACTCAGGAGCAATTGGGCAGCCCAGATGGCACATAGAGACCCTACACTGAAGCTGTGTCAAGGTTAGCACAGACACTGCCCTGTCAAATGCCAGTGTAGATGCATCCCCACCCAAGCCATGACCCCTGCTTGGCTCTCGACATAAAGCCTACACATTATCAGCATGCTTCAACTCCTCCACGCAGGAGTACTGCAAGGGGCAGAAAACAGGTGGAGGAGCATGGCCTGAGTGGCAGAAAGGCATTTGCCTTTATTAAAATACTAGAAAGAATAATTTGCTTTCATTAAAATCAGCTCAATTTACCAGCTGGGATGGCCTGCCACAATATTTCCCTTTATCCCTCCAGCGCTCTGCCCTCCCCAGCCCGCTTTGGAGCCGCAGGTCTCACACACATAGAGCCATGCACACTTCAGCACATGCTCCCTGCTGTCACAAGAGCACGCATCCAGGGATCACCTCCTCTGCCCCGGCCACGGCCTCTGCCCCGGCCCCGGCCTCTGCCCCGGAAGGTCCCTCGCACGGCTCCTCCCTCGCTCTTCACGCTGGAGGTTTCATCATGGTCCTGCCAGCTGCGCTCGTGCTTGTTGTCCGGGTGCCAGCCTGCAGCAGACAGGGAAGGAGGGGCAGGAGGAGCGTTACAGCATGAAAACACCCTCCTGGAACAAGCCCGCTGCACCCAGAGCGCTTTGAATGCAGGAAGGGTGCCCACTGTGCCATGCCTGGGCATCAGGGCTTGCTCTGCCCCACGGCCAGGGCAGGGAGAGGAGTCCCCTTGCTGAGCCCCCACCTTTCAGCTCGCTGCGGTTGTTGGAGGGGTGCCTGTGCTGCTCGTTTTGCCGGTTGTTCCGAGAGGCCGTTTTGTCCCTAGGCACCTCTGACTTCATGTCTATCTGCAAAGGGACCCACTTGTGTTTGTTGCCTGCAAAAGGACAGGGTTTGGGTGTGACACAGGTTCAGAGAGCGTCTGCTTCCTCCCCCACAGTCCCCTCTTGCCACATAGTCCCTACAGATGGAGGGGAGAAAGCAGCAGGGCCTCTTGGACCGACCTTGTCCTCAGACATCCCTCCAAGCCTGACTGGATGCAGAAAGTCTCCAACCAGAACTCTTGGGCATGGAGGGACATGACACAAAAGTCCCTTGTTGCTTCACTGCATTTGTCCTTCCTCTATCCCCTTCTGCTCACTGAGGCTCAAGCCAGACTGAGCCCATGTGTCAACTGTGGCTGATGCAACCCACAGTGAGGGCTCTTCTGTACCTCCAGAGTGCACATGGAAGGGCAGACCACTGCCACACTCTGAGACACACAGACACCCTTACTTGGGCCACGGTCCCCCAAAACGACACTCAGCCCCCCTGAAGCCTGCAAACACCATCGCTGTCCCTGCACTGCGAGCATGTCCTGCAGCAAGGCCCCCAGGGAAGGCAGTGGACACTTGAGGGTTGCAGAAGGGGAGACGTGTTGAGCCCAGGGGACTGTCCCCACCAGGTCCTGCCTTACCTTTCTTCTTCTGGGCTGACTTCTGGTTGTCATCGTCACCATTCTTCTCCTCCCCAGACTCATCCGATTTGGTTTTCAGGCTCTCTTTGCCATCGCTCCCATCCCCTTTCTCCTGCTCTTTCATGTCTTTCTTGACAGGCAGTTTCCGAAGGGATGGTGCTTTATGTGGCTGCTGGAGACACACCAGTGGAGGGAAGATGTGAGAGAAATGAAGAGCTGGAGGCAGACCCCAGCTGTCCCGGCAGCAACATGAACCAGAGGACCTTGCCCTAGGCTGGAAGCATCCCTGCTCTGTGTCCCCTAGAGCTGTCCTGCTCCTGGCAAAGAGCAGGGCAAGGGCCTCTATAGAAGCCGGGAATTCCAGAGCTGAGACACAAACCCCAGGCACAGAAGTTACTAAGATGGACTGCCAGGGAGGCCTGCTGCTCCTGGACAGGGTTATCCTACAAGGGACCAGACTGCCCCAATCCAAAAGGGTGAGGTGAACCTCATGGCCTGACAGCCAGCCAGAAGCTGGCAGAGCAGCATTTAAAAATAGAAAGGTTTAACAACACGCATGTCTGGAGCAGGAGAAGCCCATGCCCACGGGCACGCCAGCCCTTTCTCATGCATTTTCTCCTGTGGAAGTCTTGACTTTTGCCCAGGCCTCTTCCTGCACTGAGCACCCTGAGGAGAGCGTGTCTGGAAGCTGCCCTACCTGCTGCACCCAGCCCAGGGGTTTAGACAGGGCTCCAGGCTCCCAGAATAGCACTGAGGGAGGGAGCTGGACACACAGAGCAGCCCTAAAAGGAAATCCCCTGCACCCTGCACTCTATTCCTGGCTGCCTCCGCACTGACACTCAGCACCCCAAATGCCTGAGCTCAGCCCATGCTTCCAGAGGGACAGGGAGGTTGGCAAGGGCCTTATCCTGGTCACAGGAGTGAGGTGATCTCACCTGGACACTCTTGTGGGCTATCTCTCCTGGCGTTGGCCAGTTTGTGGCATCACCGAAGTCTCCAACCTTGTATCCAAAGAGAAAGGTCTTGTTAGAGCACAAGCTGAAGGTGCCATTCCCTGCATCAGCAGGCAAAAGCCCTCAGAGCCACAGTCACAGCCACCACTGTCCTGCAGACGGCTGTCCCAGGTTTGGGGGTGCCATCCAAACATACATATACACAGCCCCTGTCCCCACCTGAGCAGAGACCCAAATCCATCCCAAATAACTGCAAATTTATGTCTACAAGGGGTTGTACTGAGGCTGCCAGCAGCCCTGTAAGCTACCAGCCTCTCAGCTCCCACCATTTTGCCCCAACAGCAGTATTCGGCACCAAGTTGCCCAAGTTAACTCACTCATCACAGGCACCATCCCTTGGACAGGGAAAACACACAGCTTCCAGCATCCTAAATCCACCTGAAGCAACTATATCCCATTAAAGAAGCTGCCTCCACCTAGTGGCAGGGGGCAGCCAGGCACAGCTTCTCCTCAGTGCCCAACTGCAACCAAGGGCTGGCAACAACAGAGCAAAGGGATAATGTAGTAGAATTGGTGGGAAACTTCAAGCAGGTGTTTGATGGTGATGTTAGCTCCTTCATTCCAGACACCACACAGGGGACCACCAGTCACTTCTCTGCTAAATAAATGACCTGGCCACTACCATCTTTTCTGCCTCTTCCAGGTTTCAGAGAGGAAAGGACCCAAAAGGCTGCCCAGGCACATGATGGATCACAGCTGGGCACCGAGTTTATCTGGGCACAGAAAGACCTCCTTGCCCTTATGGGGTCACTACTTCCAAGTTAATTTGGAGTCATCAAGTCTCTTGGATCACATCTCTACATGCAGACGTCATGTTCCTCTCCCCAAGAGACAGATTTCCTTGGAAAACCACTTCCAGTGCAAGGCTGTGCCTGTTTCAAGCAGGAGCACCTTCCATCCCCAGGGCCCTCCTCTCCCTGATGTGGTCCAGATAAGGAAAGTCTTATCAAGTTCTAGATATGTCTTCACTGGCTTCTGGGAGCCAACACCAACAGCCCGTGTCCCTAGCTGTGCCCCAGCTGCATGCAACATCCTCTGAAGCAACTGTCCCTCCATCACATGCTGATCCCTGGAACAGATTGCCCTGGTTCCTCCAAAGTAGTCGAATTGTTTGAAATCAATTACCCTGACTCTCTGTGTGCCAGGAAAGAACAGATTGCACAAGAAAGGACCTGCAGACACACCGCTCCATCACACCACCGCCCTGTCTGCACTGCAAAGCAGGGCACTGGCTAAGCTCCAAAGGGATTTGGTGTGGAGGGAAGAGGGTTTCCACATCCAGGACCGTGCTCCAAGTGCCACCCTGTGAGAAGGGAGGTGAGAAGGTCTTCCCTGGCCTAGCTGGGCAAAAAAACAGTCCAGGTAACATACAAGACCACTAAAACAGTGAAGAAGGATGGAGAATCAGGATGCTCTTCTTGCAAGTGGCCAGGCCAGTACATAAACCCTCCACAACCAGGCTTGTCATGCAGTCTGCTCATGGAGCACTGCCAAGGGCACCAGAAGCTGGAGGCCAGCGAGAGGGCCAGAAGGCACAGCCTTACCTTGCTTCCCTTCCTCTGTCTCGGGTTGGCAGCCCTCACCACCTTCGCAGGAGTTGTGTGTTCTGCAAGAGGAGGAGAACAGAACTGTTAGAGCACAGCTGGGGGTTGTGGAAGTGTTAGCCCTGGAGGGAAGCAAGCCAGCTCCCCCTTCAGCAAAGGATGGCCAAGAGGAAAAGGTGAACAGAACGCAGAGCCAGCTTCTGACCTGGATCTCAGAAGGGCTACAGCAAGATCAGAACACTTCTGATCCATGTGAGCGGCCCAGCAATGGACCTTTACCCCCATCCTGCTGCAGGAAGGCACTCCCTGGCCTAGCTCCCCTTGCCAGCCGGGGAGGAGGGGTGGCGAGTTCAGCTTGCTCTGTGAAGCACCACGCAGAACTTGATCTGCTGTTATGCACAGCAAAACAAACATGCCCTTGAAGAGGCGAGGCCCATCGCCACCAGTGTGGCTGGCCCTCCCCAGGGAGCAGAGAAGGGCTCTGACACAGGGACACACAGTCTGTGGCACATGGGTGCTGCTCGCCTTGTGCTTTGATCTCTAGTGCATCCCAGCACGGGGCAGTGAGTTTACCGGAGGGAAGGAGCCAAATCTGGAAGTGCCTAAATCCTGCTACAGGCAAGAGTATTTAGGCCCTTGAGTGTCTCCAGGGTGTTGTAAGGTATCAGAATGCAACTGTTGGGGTTCAGACCACCACGGACCTACAGCGAGTCAAGACCTCAGCTCCACCATGATGTGTCTTGGTTCCTGTTCACACACCACCTCCTTACGAACAGAAGAAATTCAGACTCATTTTCTCCTTCCTCCCAGGTCTGGCTGCAAGGTCTGTGGATCAGGTTGACAGAATCCAGCAGAGCAGCACCACCACCACCCAACACAAATCAGCCCCATGAGGACCACATATAAGGGTTTGCTCCATGACAGGGAGAGGAGAACATGCTGGCCCCTGCCTTGAGGAGCATTTCTGCTGACTCCACTGGTTTAAATCAAAAGCCCTCACTGGGGTGGGGGACCAGGGTGTGAGGGAGGTGAAGAGCCCTGAGGAATCACACAGGCTCTGTGGGGATGTCCCAGGAAACACCCTGGGCAGCCTACCCATCCCCACTCAAAGCTGGCTTTGATCTCCTGCGTAAGGAAGGACAACTTTGCCTAGATGATCAAAACCGGTCCCCTTGCTAACCTGGAAACCTGTGATTCATCCTGCCAGCCCAGCCTTGCTCAGAGCTGCAGGCTTTGAAGTGTCAGCAAGGCAGAGTCAGGCATGGCCGGACGGAGCCACGTGTGCTCCCCTTCCCCACGTTCCTGTGTGGGGATTTCACCCCCAGGACACCCCAAGCTCTCAGATAGGTGCCCGAATCCTCCCTTTCCTCCCCAGCCTCTCCCCATAAGCAACAGCAGTTCCATGTGTCCCTCACTTATTCCACGTGCGCCTCATTGAGAATCCCAGCTCCACAGCACAAAGCTTGCCACAAAACTTCCCTGCTAGTGTAGGAAGAGCGAGCGCTTTCCAAACAGCCCCTAAAATCCTCCACTCGACACCCACAGATGCCACTGACTAAATATAGCTTCAAAGGCACCAAGTGCTACAGCACAAACCCACGGCCAGCCCGGTTTTCCACAGGTACGGAGCACCCCTGCTCCAACAGCACTGACATGCTGGCACCGCAGGAAAGGAGAACTGAACTCGCTCTGCAGGCTCATCAGGCACCCATCTCTCTGGCTGGGGGAGAGCACAGCGCACACATCCCATCTCGCTGCCTGCTCCCTCCATGCTGCAGTGTTCACAGCAATGGCATCCAGCTCTTTTCTCCAGCTGCTTCAGCTCTGGAGCCTCACAGCCATCAATGTTCTTGTGCTTTCTCGGGGGACCAGTCAAAGAGAGGAACCCCTCACAACCCCTACTGAAAGAGGCACACACAGGCTGCAGGGGTGGGTGCCACAGACTCCATGTCGTTGTGGGGGAGGAAGGAGATTGTTTGAAACAAGTTCTGCTGCTTTCCTTATCTGCGAGATAGGAACAGGGATCCCTTATCTAGCCGAGGTGCTGAGGACTCATTAGCATTTGCAGAGCACGGTGGAAGACAAAACACAAAGCAAAGCGAAGGCTGCAGAGCCTGGCAGGGGCCGAGGCACCTCTCATGGATGAAGTCAGGATCTGCAAGTCATGGTGGAGACAGCTCAGAGCAAGGCAGGAGGCTGAGAGGGTGTGACTGTGCTATGGATGGACAGTCACCATCCACAGAGCCATGGCAAGGAGAAGCTGAGCATACTTGGCACCCTCCAGGGCACACCAGACTGATCAAGGGCCCCAGCTGCAACCCATTCTATAGCCAAGCAAGCTCCTGGACATTGAACCCAAAACTGCTCTTGATGCTTCCTTGCAGAGATTCTAGCAAACCCTAGTGTTTAACAAAGCAAACCCATCCAAACCACATTTGGGCTAATCCAGGTGCTCAGGCTTCAGAGGAAAACCTTCCTACAAGGACAGACCACACCTTATATTCCAAACCCCGCTGGCCTTCATCACTGCATCAACCTGGGAAACAGGGAGCAAGTGGATGTTGCTCACCCCCTCAGACAAGCAGTGCTAGCAAAGGATACTAGATACTGCCCTGGCTGATAGATGAGCCCTTAAAAGCTGCTCACGGATGTCTCAGACCTCCTGGCATCTCACAGACCTCCTTTTGCATTTATTCGGTGCAATTTTCAGTTGCACTAACGCTGCCTGACTGTCATCCCCCAAAAAACAGGGCCCTTCTGTGCAAGGGGACAGACAAAACAGTGGCGGCAGGAGCCAGGGCTTTAGTGGTGTGAGGCTGGCAAGGGGACGGTGGGCAGGGAAGGAAGGAGCAGCTTTGCCTGCAGCCACAGAGCAGATGCTGGCACAGCCAGGAACAGAAAAGCAGGTTGTGATCTGCTGCCTGCAGCCAGAACCAGAACCAGATCCTTTGCCTGTGGGGCTGCCCAGCCACGAGATTATTTCTTAGCAACCAAGGGGATGAGGCAGCATTTCCCTCTGCCAGCACTGCAGCCAAACCCCTCCCATGGCCAGGGCATAGCAGACGCATTCCTTAGCTTTCGATGCTCGCTCCCCAGTGAGCACCAACAAGGGGGATGCTGGGCAGACACTTCGTGCTTCCCTTCCAGCACAGTACAGCAGCCCTCCAGGCAGGAAGCTTACAGGGGTGGTCCGGGTGAGCCAGGTTCAAGGTTCTACCTTGTACCTGGAAGGAAAAGAGCTGTTGCACAGGGATCAGAGAGGGCAACAGCAGCTCCACAGCTTAATGCATTGTCCCCCCACCCTGAGATGGGACACGTGCTGTAGGACCACTGAGCTTGGCCTAGGAGACATATCTATACCTCACCTGGGAAACTCAAACCCAGCGCCTGCCAGCCTGTTTCCCTGCCTTTTCTTGTATCTAATGCAGCTTCTAATGGATTTTCAGAGAAGGCAGATGAAGAGGTGGAATAAATCCGCAGGGCTGGCGCTACACTGCAGGAATACCTGCACCTCTAGTAAGAGAGCTGTAGTGCCTGCTCCCAGTGTACCACTCGCGTGCAACACAGACCAGGGCTCGGAGCACCCCAGCACCAGCTGGGACAGCATCAGAGTGAAGCCCAGGTTCCCAGCAG